AGTCGCGGAAGAGGCGCGAGATGCGATAACTCCGACGAGCGCACCTCGGAACGAATCGGATGTGCCGATCAGGAACAGACTACGGACAACCGGCGCGAATGCCGACGCCAACAATTCCAGGACCGACTTCACCCAGAGCAGCACCATCATAACCAGCTCCACTTTTACCGCCACCTTCGGCAACAGCTCCTTTGAATCGACAGCGCCGCGCCGGCAGCTTCGGCCTCGCCTGCGCCATTGCAACTTCCGCCTCCGACGAGTCCGCAGTTGCACCTTCGTCGACGGCAGCCTCGCCGACGTCGCCGCTGGCCACCTGGCGATATGCCGATGATCATCCTTCACCTGCGGAAGCTCTTCATTCTCCAGAAGAGGGGCCCTCGCCAGCGAATGCGATGGAATGTCCAGAGGGCGAAAGAGCAGATCGACGCGCAATCGAGACACAGGCGAGCAACAACAAGGATATACCACCAGGAGCGAACTCGCTGGCTACGACAGTCAGGACAACTATATCACCTGAGTCATCTGGACCACGGGGCGACGCTCGTTGACTTCCCATCAAAACGAATAAATGTGCGAGGTCGCCCAGAGGGAGAAACAACGAGAAGTTCTCAGATCTCGACATGCGCTTCGTCATCGTCTAACATCAGAAAGAGCGTGTTGTACCGCTGCTGGCGGAACATCGGGGGGGCCACTGGGGGTTTCCAGCCTGCCCCTCCCTTCTGAAAGCCGGGGGGCGGGCTCGCTGCCGGTTCGAAGCCCCCCCCTTCCTGGCTGCCGGGAATCGACTCCCTTTCTTCCCCCCATTCTGGATGGGGGGCTGGTCGCGGGGCGGTGGCGGGGGTGGTGGCGGGGAGGGGAGTGGGGGCAGTGGGGCGGTGGTGGGGCCGTGGGGCAGGGTGGAGTGGGGCCGCGGTGGGGGTATTGGTGGACAGTGGTGGGGACAGTGCGGACAGTTCGACAGTGGTGGGGGTGCTGGTGGGGGCAGTGGGGACAGTGGTGACCGTGGTGGGAAGAGTAGGGACAGTGGGGCAGTGGTGGGGGCAGTGGGGGCGGCGGGGCTCTGGGGGCGGCTGTGGTGGGCGTAGTGGCGAGGGGCAGTGGGGCAGTGGTGGGGGCAGTAGGGGCAGTGGGGCACAAGTGAGGACGGTAGTGGCGGGGCAGTGGTGAGCGCGGTGGTGGGGGCTGTGGTGGGGCAATGGGGCAGTGGCACAGCGGGGGTGGGTGGGTGGGGGCAGTCGGGGCAATGGGGCGGCGCAGCGGGGCAGCGGTGAGGGCAGTGGGGGAAGTGGGGCAGTGTAACAGTGGCGGGGGCAGTGGGGGCAGTGAGAACAGTGGGGCAGAGGCGGGGGCAGCGGGGCCATTAAGGAGAGCGGGGCTGGGGTGGGGGCAGTTGCGGGGACAGTGGGGGCAGTGGGCGCTGGCGGGGGCACTGGATGGGGCGGCGGGAACAATGGTGGGAACAATGGTGGGAACAGTGGGACATTGAAGGGGGCAGTCAGTGGGGGCAGTGGGGCAGTGGTGGGGCGGTGGTGGCGGGGGCAGTGGCGCGGGGGCAGTGGGGCGCTGGTGGGGGCAGTGGGGGCGCAGGGGCAGTGGTGGGGGCGGTTGTGGTGGAGGCAGTTGCGAGGGCGGTGGTGGGCAATGTTGAGTGGGGGCAGTGGTGGGGGCAGTGGGGCGGCTCAGTGGGGCGGCGGTGGGGACTGCGGGGGCGGTGGGGCGTGGGGGGGCGGTTGGGGCAGTGGGGTTGGGGCAGTGGTGGGGGCAGGGGGCAGTGGGAGTGGGGCCGTGGTGGGGGCAGTGGTGGGGGCAGTGGGAACAGTGCGACAGTGGTGGGGGCGCTGTTGGGGGTAGTGGTGGGAACAGGGGGACAATGGGGGGTGGGGCGGTGGTGGTGTGGGGCACTTGTAAGAGCGGTGGCGAGGGCGGGGCAGGGGCCCAGGAGTCGTTCGCCGGCGGCGAGTGTCGAGTGTGGTTGGGGGGTCGAACCAGCAGTGACCCTTCCGGTTTGCTCGAGTGGGGGGGGTCGAACCGGTAGTGGCTCCCTTCGGTCTTCTGGAGGGGGGCGGGGGAGGGGGTTGCCGGGGGAAGGGGGGGGGGGGGGGGGGGGGGGGGGGGGTTCGAGCAGGAGTGGGGGGATTGTCGGGGGGCGTGGGCCGGGTTCCCGAGGGGGGGGGGTTCGCGCGCAGTGCAGCGGCGGTGGATCGCGCCCTCTCTCTAACGTCGTGAGAGGTGGTCACTCGCCCGCAGTCAAGGGCCAGGCTGCGTCGCCCCCGGTGCTCGCAGACACCGAGCGCCCTAACCCGAACCAGCAGGTAACCTTCACGGTATTCCATTCCCGCTATGTGTTTTCATCGGGCCCCGAGGTTGGACGACGTCGACGAGTGGCAAGACCTGATGTCGGGCATGGCAGGCGAGATTTCGGCGAACCTCCGCAGGATGGACCAGCATCCGTTACCTTAGGACCATGGGGTGGTTTACTTGACCACCCGGGGTCCATTCGAGAAGAGCAGACCACGGGCGCGTCCATCTTCGCCCAGAGCGACGACGTCTTGATAGAAGCAGCCGTTTACGCGCGTCGAGACTTAACGGGCAAGGCTGGCCGACCAGAAGCACGACGTCTCATTGGTTCACCCCTGTTTTAACGCCAAACACGTTAACGATCTCGATATCGGCAGTATAGTGGATGTGGCATGGTTCGAAGATAGAAACGGATGTGCGACGATCAGAACAGCGTGTGCTGCATCATCACATTAAGACTCTTTGGGCGTGACTAGTTGGATTCCCCAGCGCATGATGTGCTGCTCCGCAGTTCGACAGCCTCTGGGTTATCGCAGAACCTGGTGGCGTCTCTATAATGCATCGAGCAAGACATGGGGATTGTGACCTTGGACGTCTCGGCAGCAGTCTCTCAGGGCCTGAACTGCAAGGACTTGCAGAAGCACGCTGGCCAGCTCGGCATTGAGATCTGACAGGAGAGGGGCGTGCATGGAACCGCTTTGAATGTCGGGCGTCTTTTCGGTAGCTATGAGCAGTAGTCGACGATCTGCACCAGTGATAGCGAGAGCCAGTTCCTAGACCTCATGCTGTTGCAAAGGGTCCACGGGTCCGTGGATGCGTCTGTCTTGAGACATCTGGTTATGACGATGCTCGTCCAGTGTGACCTCGAGGGCGTGCGGGGCGCGTTCGACGATGACTTCTCTGCGTGGGTCGAGCAGGGTAAGATCAAGATGATCTAGACAGTCCGTGTAGAAGGCATCGTCGTTCTAACGTCGAATCTGCGGATGAGGTGGGGGCAGGAAAAGAGAAGGAAGCGTTTCGGAAGCGGAAGTATGGAAATATGTGCACTTCTTTTCGCCCGCGTGGGCATGGCCCATGATTTTTTCCATGGTGGGCGCTTTTTCGTTTGCCGAGGTGTGCTCGCTGACGACTTGACCAAAGTGGAAATCGCCAAAGATCGGCAGGCCAAGTTCATGGGCGCATTCGCGCCATGGGAAGTTTATGAGCTCCGCATTGGGATATGTTCATTGTTAGAGGTACTGCGACCCAGTGCAGCTTCAGCAGTGTGTACGGGATGCGAGAGTGGAGCACTCCTTTGAGTTGAATACCATCACACTGGCAGGGCCTCCAGACATCGACATCTAGCTGGACTTCGCTATCCCGAGCTCGAGTCACCTTTCAGATTTGCGTTGGTGGCAGATGTTTCTAAAGGAAATGCAGTCGCATCATGCCCTCAAGAGGGCAGCGCAGTCTTGCTCATTCCCGAATAGCTCCTCAGAGAGCTAAGAGTGTTTTAATATTAGAAGCCGGCAGGCAGGGCTGCGCCAACTCCTCCCCGAAGCCCCTGGGCAGGCATCCCCGCGGCGGTTTGCTTGAGGTCGCAGCGTGTTCCTGCGAGCGTTTTCCGACTCGTTCCCAATACGCGTGCCCGACGCCTTCTTGCATTTTTTTCGCAGCTCCTTCGAAGCTCTTTCGGACCTTGCCTCTCGAAGCTTGCGGGCTCCCCAGGCATGCCTTCCAGCGTCCTGGCAAGCGTCTCCCACGAACGTTTCCTTCGCTTTAAATTGCGATGCTATCCAAGTTTTGGACGGCACAAATTGAGGACATCCAGGGCGAGAAGCACTTCGGCAGGGCTTGCCGCATTATGGTCGTGCAAAAGAGAGCCCGTTTCTTTATTTCATAGGGCGTGACGGGAGGGGGGGGGCGGGGGCTATGACGCAATGCCCCCCCAGTGCGTTCTGGGCACTACCGCCGTGCGCATCGTAATCCGCATAGGTGTCCGCGCAGGAATCCGCATAGGTGTCTGGTCCGCAGTCGTCGTCGTCGTCGTCGTCGTCGTCGTCGTCGTCGTCGTCGTCGTCGTCGTCGTCGTCGTCGTTGTCGTTCGTCGCTCGTCGCTCATCGTCGTCGCGCGCGCGGACGCAGCTGGAGCCTGTTTCTTTTCTTTTTCATTCCGGGCCGATGACGGCAATCATCCGAGGGGATGGAGGGGGCCGATGACGTCACGTTTCGCGCCGGCGGCGTCTGGGACTGCTTAGGAATCACCCAGGACGGGTAGCAGCAGTATGTCGGTGACGATCTGCGCCACAGTGCCAGCGTGCACCATAGTGCCCGCGTGCACCACAGCGCCTGCGTACACCACAGTGCGTATGTGCACCACAGTTGCCGCGTGCATCACAGCGCCAGTGTGTGCCACAGAGCCTGCTGGCACCACGGCGCTTGTGTGCACCGCAGCGCTTGCGTACGCCACATCAACTTTTTTTTTTTTTTTTTTTTTTCTCTCTCTCTCTCTCTCTCTCTCTCTCTCTCTCTCTCTCTCTCTCTCTCTCTCTTCTCTCTTCCTTTTTAATTTTCCGTTTTTCTTTTTTCCTGCGCGGCGGGCAGGCGGGGGGGCTCCAGGAGTCAGCCCCCCCCCTCTGTGTGGCGCCACTCGCCTCTTCGGGCGGCGCGACCTCCGCTCGGAGAATGACCGAGGGCACGGCGCCACGGTGAAGCTAGGCGGCCTACGTCGAGGCCACCGAGCTCGAGAGGCCAGCCACCTCTCCAGCTGCAGCGTCAGGGAGGCGTGCGCCGCTGGTCGGGTGCACATCTCGGCGAATTCTGTCGCCTCTGAGGCGGCGGATGCGACCTGCATCACCCTCGTCTGGGGTGCATAGGCTCGAGAGCGCCTTGAAGGAGCCGAGGCGCTCGCGCGCGTACGCATTGCACAGATTGCGCACGACGTAGCCGTGGCGCCGCTGCAGCGCATGCCCGAGCTCGTCGCGCGCAGCGGCAGGAGCGGATGGGGACAGCGGGAGGCGCACCCTCGGCAGGCACATCGGCGGGTGCCAAGAGCGCGCGGGCTCCGCCGCGCTCGGCACGCACAGAGGAGACCGCGACCTGTCGCCGCTGCCTCCGACGGCGCCAGCGCGAGAAGAGCTCGCCCTGCGCTCCCTCCATGCAGCCAGGAGGAGGTCAGCGGCACTCGAAGGCTTGCTCACGGCGGCGGCGGGCCTCTCCCTGGAGCCCGCGTCAGGCCCACGAGGCCTGCGAGGCGCTCGGAGGGCGGGGCCGCTCGCGGCGGCGGCGCGGCTGGTGTCGCCGCCGTCGCCCTCGGCGCTGCCACCAACTCCGTGCCCTCCAGCAGCGGCAGCCGTGATGGCGGCGGCCGCCAATGCGACTCCCGCAGCGGCGCTGGAAGCGGGGGCCCGCTTGGCCCCTGAGGCCACCGCCTTGGCCTTGGGCTTGCAGGGGGCCCTGAAGAGCTCCTGCTTGGACCTCTTCGTGCGCGCCGTCTTGAAGCGCGCTTGGCAGTGCCGCGAGCCGTCGGCCTGCGTCGCGAAGACGTGGCTCGTGAGGCTGAGGCCGATGCGGTTGCCGAGGTCGCGCTGCACGAAGCCATTGGCGCTGTCGTCCCTGGCGGCGCCCGCTGGCGCGCCGGCCTTGGCCAGCCAGCGCGCGACCCCGTCCGCCATGACGGCAGCCTGCTTGCACTTCAACCTCGTCGCGGAAGGGGGCCCAAGCGCCGCGGCGATGCCACCTGCCACGTGGTCCGCCTCGAGGTTGCTGCGCCTCTGCTTGCGCGTGATGGCGCCCTCCCGAACTCGTCGATGGGTCGCATGGCCAGGCACCTTGACCACCGTGAGGGCGTGGTCCGAGAGGCCGCCGAAGTCGTTGAGGGCCGCCCACACCAGCCGCCACAGGTGCCCCCCACGCGGAGGACGCGAGGGTGGTGCGCTCGGCACCACGGAGGTTCACGCCGTCCACCACGTAGCTGGCGTCGCAGTGCAGGACGATGGGCGGGATGGAGTGCCGCAGCACGATGAGCACCGACAGCAGCTCCGAGCCGTCGATACTCTGCCACGGGCCGACGAGCGGCGACCCGAGCGCCTTGGTCCTGCTGCCAGGACCTGGGTCGGTGCTGTCGCTGACGGGCGGCAGCTCGACCACCGCCGCCGCGCCTTGGGCGCCCCGCCCGCCAGCAAGTGCGGCGCCGTGCAGGGCGCCGTCGCAGTACAGAGGCTGGCCGCAGAAGGGCTCGCCTGGCTCGCCGCAGCACCAACGCAGATGTTCCGGGAAGCCGCCTGCTGGATGCCGCCACTGCAGCCAAGGGATCGGGAAGTGCAGCCTCTCGACGAGGAGCCTGATCTCTGGTTGTCGCGCTGCGCCAACAGGAGCGCCATCTCCCGCGGCAGGTCGCCTCCATCAGGTAGACGAGCGAGGGCCTGGCATTCCAGATGCCTGTGCCAGAGGTCGCCCCGCTGCCCTGGGCAGAGCTCGCAGAAGTCTGAGGAGGCATACCTCGGGTTGTTGCCGAACTTCCTGACGTTGGTCCACTGGCCGTTCACGATGCACGACCTGAGGTAGCCGCGCTCCTCGTTGGTGGCGGCGGGCCAGCTCTTGCCAGCCTTCGAGGAGGGCCGTCCTCGATCGACCCACTTCCGCACCTGCCCGAAGTTGATGCCGACGGCCAGCCACGGGGCGTCGTGCTCGCTCAGCTGGCGGGCCTGTCAATCCTCGCAGGTGCGCCGAAGAAGCTTCTTGGTCAGCCACGGGCTGGTGTTGCCGATGCAGTGGACGTCGCCCGCGTCGGAGGTCCACTTGTCCAGCTGCTCGCCCTGCCAGCCGACGCGCCGCAGGGAGAGGGCGGCGGCGGAGATGGGCCCGCGGGCCTGACTCCACTGGCCGACATGGCGGACAGCAGCCGCAAAGGCCGTCTCCAGCGCCTTCCTGGGCAGCCACTGCTCCCAGACGGCGCGGTGCAGCATGCAGATGGGGTCGAGCGTGGCCTTGACGACGGGGTCGTAGTCGGCTCCGACGAGGGCCAAGACCGCGGTGGCGCTCTTGCCCGCGGGCCGCAGCTCGACGGCCTTCACGGCCATGGTTCTGGCCTGCTGGAGCTCAGCGTCGCTCAAGCCCGTGCAGCAGACCCCGTGGGCGTAGCTAGCCTCCAGCCCCTGCTTCGCCACCCGGGCTGCGATCCTGCGGCGGCGCGCGGGACCGAGGAGGCGACGAAGCCTCGGCACGCGCCGCGAGGCCTGCTTCAGCCGCCCTTTGCGCACGCTCCTGGACATCTTGGCGCCGACGGCGAAGTCCACGCTCAGGTTGCGAGCTCCGCGAGCCGCGCGCGCCTTGGTAGACGCGGCCAGCCTGCTCTCGAGGTCCTTGGCCAGCTGCGGCGAGTCGGCGAGGAGCACCGACTTCTTGGTAGCCACGAAGATGTCCACCTTGTGCAGCTCCTTGACCACGCTGGTGACGCTAGCCACGGTGGGGTCGGCCACCCGCTTGCCGCCTCCGACTCGCTGGAAGACGAGGTCGCCGACGACGACCGATGGCACGATGCTCGGCGACGCGCGGACCGTGCGGTCGAGCGGCGTGAGCAGGACCAGCTTCATGAACGTGGTGGCCCACATGTCGCCCGCCAGGACCGTCTGGTTCGCCTCGATGAGGTCCGGGACGGCCCCGCGGTGCTCGAGGGCCCGCGGAGCCCGATAAAGAGAAATCTGGAGTTTGACGACCCAGAGAGGGAAGTCGTGCTCGGCCGCCGAGTTGATGAGGTGCTGGTGCCTCATCTGCTCGAACGCCTTCCAGAGGTCGAGCACCACGGCGGCAGAGTGCCAGTCCAGGTCGGGCTGCTCGTCGCGCTTGGCCTTCAGCCACTCGCTCCATACAAGCTGCTGCCACGCAGCTCGCTCGCAGGACTTGCCTGCCGTGGCCCACCAGAAGGCCCGCGGGTGGGCGGCCTCCCAATCGCGGGCGAGGCCGCGGCGGAGGCGCCCGTGCGCGCGGACGAGAGCCGCGAGGAGGGCGATCGGCCTGACGCCGCCCTCCCGCTTGGCGATGAAGACCAGCTTGGTGATGAATCTGGGCCAGCAGCACTCGAGCTCGACCCGCTCCAAGAGGGCCGCGATAGCCTCCACGCCGTCGTCGCCGAGGGCGTCGAAGTGGCGCGGGTTGAAGGTGTCGAAGGACGTGCCCGTGGTCTGCGAGAAGGACGCGAAGACCTTGCGCAGCTCGGCGACGGTGGGGCGCGGCGGCCTGGCGCCGAGGCCTCCATCTGGCCAAACCAGATCTGCCGTCGTGCTGCCGATGTTCCAGTAGCGCGACCACTCCTTGACGAGGAGCTGCGCCGCCTGCATCTGGTCCGCAGGCGTCAGGACAGGGTTGCCCTCCGCCCCGCTGCCGCCGTCGGCGCAGGTGGGGCTAGGATGCCACTGCGTGGGCTCCTTGGTGAAGGCGTGCAGCGCGCCGCCTTCAAGCATGGCCTGCTGCTCGATCCAGTCGCCGAACTTGGACTTGGTCCGCCTGATCGCGGAGGCGACGAGCAGGTCGCCCACGTCGTCCACCAGCGCCGCGACGGCGCGGAGTGCGGCGCACGGCAAGTAGTCGAAGGCGCTGCACAGGAGGGCCAGCGCGTTTCCGAGACGGCTCTGCTGCTGGCCTCCATCGGCGTGCCGGACGTAGCGGTTCCAGGCGCGCCGCAGACGGTGGATCTGCTGCCGACCACGCCCATGGGCACCGATGACGTCCAGGGAGGAGGCGTTCTTGGCGACCATGGCCCACTGCTTGATCCAGCACATCTGGATGTCCAGCCTGGGGTATCGCGGCATCTTGGGCGCGCTGGCGCGGGCCCAGCGGAGCACGGGGGGGGCCGCTCGCCCCCTGTACTGGTCACCGTGCTCGCTGAGGCCGCAGCGGTCGATCAGCTCGTCCTCAGCGACACTGATGACGGCTTGCCACGCGTCGTCGACGGTGGGGGCGTGCGGCGCGGCTTGCTGCACGGCGGCCCAGGCTGGGCCGAAGTCCTGGGAGCAGCTCCCAGGCGTCGGCGGCCGCGGGAAGGGCTTGGGCGACTGCGTCACCTGCACCCAAGGCTGCACCTGGCCTGTGCTCACCTCGAGCAGAACGGGTCGGTGAGGGCCGAAGTCCCAGTCCTGGAGGGTCGTGGCCTTGGCCGCCGCGAAGCAGGAGGATACCACGAAGTAGTACAGCACGCGCTCGGCGGGCCTGCATGTGCCGCTCGCGGGAGCGACGATGTGGCCGCCCAGCTGCGCGAGCCAAGGGGCCTGGGCGAGCTCGACGGGCTCCATGTTGAAGTCGCCGCAGATGATGAGCGGCGGGCCGACCACGAGGACCGCTCGCCGCACGGCCTCCAGTATGGCCAGGTTGGCGGCCGACAGGCCCCCGCCCGTGTGCAGGTACACGTTGACCCACGAGATCCCGCCACGCATGAAGCCGCCGTGATGCAGGATGGCGGCGCGGCCAGGGATGAGCTCGCCGCTGCGGAGGCCGTCGACGAGGAAGGGCGCAGCCCCATGCCGCCTGGGGGCCAGGCAATGCAAGCCGCCGTGACCAGGCGTGCCGCCCTCCGCGTCGGTGGCGGCGCACGCGAGGGCATGCCAGCCCAGGCGGTCGAAGGCCGCGCCAGCCTCGGCTGCGCGCGGCGTGGAGAGGTGAGTCTCCTGGACGGCGACGAAGTCGCAGTGGACGAGCTCGTCCTTGCCCACGAGATCCATGAAAGTGGAGTGGGCGTTCGGGTTGATGGTGGGCCCGCGCCAGGTCGAGCCTCTGGCGGCTGCACCAACAGCCCTGCAACTACCCCCAGGGTCCGTCGACCCGCAGCTTCTTGTCGACGTGCTCGCGGAGGCAGATGAGGGCGGTGGCCAGACGCTTGCGCTCAGTGTCGTCAGTGCACACCATCTACAGGCCACCAGGATCCGACTCGCGAACGAATGACTGCAGGGTGACCATGCCGTCGGGCGGGGGCGGCGCCTCCACGGTGACGTCCATGGGGCCTGCGCCCTCGGCGCCGCTTGCCCCGCCCGCTGGGGCCGCTGGAGATGCCGCCGCCGCTGCTGCCGCAGGCGGAGGCGGCGGAGCCGCCGCCTTGACCAGCTCGATGACCTCCGCGAGCAGGTCCTGCGTCGACTTCTCGGCGACGTCGGCGGCGGAGAGCTTCTCCAAGAGGCGGGCGGCGGGCACAGCCTCTGGCACGACGAAGACCTTGGCCGCAGCAGCCCTGGCCTCCTCGCGCTCGGCCTCGACGGCCTTGCACTTGCGCTGCGCCTCCTCAAGCGCCAGCGTCGCCTTGGCCGCGGCTGCCGCCAAGCGCTGCACGGTCTTGGCGGCCTCGACCGCCTTCTGGTCGACGCGCTTGAAGTGCTGGGTGGCCTCGTGCGCGGCGAAGGCCCCGCAAGCGCCAGGCCCGCCAGCGGTGACGGCGCGGCCCGCGTCGACCTTGGCGACCGTGGCCTTCGCGAGCACCTTGCGGTACTCCGCCCAGGCCTCTCCGCTGAGCGCCGCAGCCCGCTCGATGCCCTTTTCGTCCAGCTTGGGCCAGTGGACGGCCTCTTGGGTGGGCTGCTGGCCGTTGGCACCCTTGGGCCCCTTGCGCAGCCAAGGCGGGGCGCCGCCGCCGCCTTGCCCACGCCCGCCGCCACCTTGGCCTTTGTTGCCACACCCGCCGCCGCCGCTCTGGCCCTGCCAGCGCCGCGGCTTGTAGCGCCCGCAGAGCGCACACGCCTGCAGCTTGAATGGATTGTAGCCGCCGCACCCGCACAGCCAATAGGAGGACATCGCTTTCCAGATGTCTCCAAGGACTGCAAGGCGCGAGAAAACAAACTCTTCTGCTCGGCAACGCGCAGCTCGACCGAGGAGCGAAAGCAAACGGGGTATGTCCGCGGACTAGCGGTCTCCACGTCGCCTCGCGGGAGACGTGGCATCTTGAGCCAAAATGGCTACGGACACCACATCAACCGTGTGCAACACAGCACCAGTGGACACCATAATGCCTGCGTGCACTCAGCACGGCGCCAGTGAATAGACCATTCTGCGGTGCACGCTGAGACGTGCACTTGCGCTGTAGTGCCGACCCGCGCGACAGGGGGGAAGGGTGAGGGAGGAGAAGGAGGAGGTCGAGGAGGAGGAGGAGGACGAGGGGGAGGAAAAGGAGGAGGAAAAGGCGGGGATGGAAGAGGGAGGAGGGAAAAACGTCGCATTCAATTCTCAGCATTTCCCTGGCGTGGCGTTTAGATGTCCGCAGCAAATCCTCACCGACATGTTCCTTCCATCTCCCCTGTGCACGCAAGCGCTCTGGTGTACACCAGCGCTGCGTTGCACGCGGATGCTGTGGTGTAGACAGGCGCTGTGGTGTGCACGGGCGGTGCGATTCATGTAGACGTTGTGGTGTAGACAGGCGCTGTGTTGCACATGGCTGCTGCGGTGCACACATTCGGTGTGGTGCACACCGTCGCAGTGGTGCACGCAAGCATTGTGGTGTACACAGGCGCTGCGTTGCACACGGCTGTTGCGGTGTACGCAGGCGCTGCGGTGTACACAAGCGCTGTGGTGCACGCGAACACTACGGTGTACGCAGTCGTTGTGGGGCAAATCGCTACCTACATGCTGCTCGCGTCGTCGTCGTCGTCGTAATCGTCGTCGTCGTCGTCGTCGTCGTCGCTCGCGTCGCTCTTCGATCGTCGCTCGTCGCTCATCCTCGTCGTGCGCGCGGGCGCGGCTGTGGTGCCGGAGCCGCACGGCGGGGGGGGCGTTACGTCATGACCCCCCCCCGCCCCCCGCCCATGACGCCCGTCATCGCCGATGATAAAGAAACGCGCTCAACAAATCCAAACGTATCTCACACAGCAAATGTCACGTGGAGACGATTGCAGGCTACAAGGTGAGCTGGTGCATGCAGTTCTTCTCGATAAGGTTCACAGAATTGCTCATAGCGGCTTCGTGTGACAGAGCGCGTTCTGTGGTCGCTTGGATGGAAAGGGTTTGGAACCGGGCCCCCCCCCTGGATGGAGGGGGGGGGGTTCGAACCCCCCCCCTCCCGTGACCCGTAACGGGGGTGGGTTTCGACCTCCCCCCCTCCCCCCCCGACTTCCCCTACTTCTCCTCTCTCCCTCTCCTCGGGCCGGCGCCTGCGTCGTCGGCGGCGGCTGGCGGCGGCTGGCGGCGGCGGCGGCGGCGGGGACAACGATTTTTTTTTTCGGGGCCAGCGCCGGCGCCTACGGCGGCGGGCGGCGGCGGCGGGGAGAGTCGACGACGACGGTGGTGGTGATGGTGGTGGGTGGTGGTGGTGGTGATGGCGGTGGTGATGGTTGTGGTGGTGGTGGTGGTGGTGTGGTGGTTTGTTGTGGTGGTGATGGATGTGGTGGTTGTGGTGGTGGATGGTGGTCGTGGTGGTGGTGGTTTGGTGGTGGAGTGGTGGTGGTTTGTGGTGGTGGTGGTGGTGGTGGGTTGTTGTTTTTGTGGTGGTGGTGGTGGTTTGGTGGTGGTGTTGTGGTGGTTTGTGGTGGTGGTGGTGGTGGTTAGTTGTGGTGGTGGCGGTGGTTTGTGGAGATGGTGGTGGTGGTGGTGGTGGCGGTGGTGGTGGTGGTGTGGTGGTTTGTGGTGGTGGTGGTGGGTTGTGCTGCTGGTAGTGGTGGTGGTTGTGGCGGTGGTGGTGGTGGTGTGGTACATTGTGGTGGTGGTGGTGGTAGTGGTGGTGGGTTTTTGTGGTGGTGGTGGTGGTGATGGTGAGTTGTGGTGGTGGTGGTTGTGGTGGTGGTGGCGGCTGCGGTGGTGGTGGTGGTGGTTGTGTGGTGGGTTGGTGGTGGTGTTGGTGGGTTGAGGTGGTTGTGGTGTTGGTGGTAGTGGTGGTAATCGTCGCTGCGTCCCCGCCGTCGCAGGCGCCAGGGGGGGTGAGATGGGGTTTGAACCCCCCACTTCGAATGCCTCTGGTCATCGTCACTGCGTCCCCGCCGTCGGCGCTGCTGGCGGCCGCCAGCGCCGGCGCCGGCGCCGGCGCCGGCGCCGAGGGGGGGGTTTGAACCCCCCCCCCTTTGGAAGGGGGGGGTCGGGAGGGGGGTTTGGGGGGAGGGGAGTCCCCGTGGTTTTGATCGACGGCGCCGAGTGTTGGGGGGGGAGCCCGCCCCCCGGTTCGAAACGCGCCGCCGAATGTTCCCAAGGCGAGCGCCCGTGAAACGCGCTCTCTCCTTCGTAACGGCACCTGCTTCGCAACGTATTGCAGTACATCGACACTGGACCGATGGAGCTGATGACCGCTCTTCGTACGGACTTTCTTGATTTTTGTCAGATCTGCTGTGGCGTTAAAGGTGTTCCCAGCGACAAGAATAGTTGACTCTCAAATGTTACGATCAGAGAAGAAAGGCGGACGACACGTATCATATACTTCACGCAATGCCCAACTCACAACATCATGATATGCGATATTCTAACGAAGACATGACTTTTCTCTCATATCATGGTGTCGGTCAGCACGGGACAGTGGCGTAACCAGTCCATAGTGGGCAAGCAGTTCGCAGCTCGACGAGTACAGCAGCGGAAGGACACTTACGACGAGTGTGACCTCTTTCGGCTGGAGGGTTGACCCGGCCGCCCCGTGGACGGCAGTGTGCGCGTGCATGTGTACATTTTGTGGGCGAGACCGTGCGTATGGTAGTGCATGGTGCATAGCGTGTTGTGCGATAGATGGTGAAATCGGATCGGTTGAAACTTGAGTAACCTCTAGAGGCACCCTGCTTTGAAATCGAGTTGTTCTAATTCCCAAGCGCAGGACAGAAATCATATCCTCTTCTAGAACCCCGTTCATGGAAGCCTTTGGGGTAGAGACGATCGGATCGTCGATATTCGACCGTCTTGTACATCGCGGCTCAAAACACATATGATATCTGCTCCTGCTCCCTCCCCCCTCCCCCTCCTGCATGCTCTCCTCTCCTCTCCCCTCCTCCTTTCTCCTGTTCGGAGTCCCACCTACGGTGCCAGGGGATGGCGCCAGCGCGTGGTCCCCACGACGGTCTCGGCATACTTGCCACACGGATCGTGCCGAACAAACGGACCTCAGCGCGCCTCTGCGCGATTGCCCCGCGGCGCCGAAATCCACCCCTGCTGCGTCTCTTCTCCGCTTCTTCCCCCTCCCTACCCACTTTCCTCCTCGTCAGCGTCTTCGTCTCCCCTGGGAGGAACGGGCGAAACGGTTTGGCAGTAGGCTTGCTTACCAACTCCTATTGTTTCGGCACCGCTGGTGGCGTCGTTCCTCGTGCCGTCGTCACTTGGATTAGGAATGCAAGGAACAAATCCCCGAACTCTACCCCTCCCGCGGCCAGCAGTGCATGATCATAGGGCAGCGCCTTACACTACCTGCAGCTGCATTGGGTTGTGCCATTCGATTGGCTAATTTTACATGTAGTTCGCGATCGTCCGACCCCATCTTCTCGGACCCCAATTAGGAGGTATCAAACCTAAGTCCCAAGGACCCACAGGAAACAACCGAGGCCGTGACAGCTATACCAAAGACAGGGTCGGTAGCTTCTTAGGGACGTCAGAGAGCGGAGATCACTCAGGGTTGAACGGTTCGCGCGGTTTCAGGTGCATGGCCCATGTCGTCAATGCAGGAACTTGCAGCACGCGTCCCCTAGGAACGGGATTGGATTCGGTAGCTTCGATGCTGCAGACATCGGTCGATCTACGATTCAGGCAAGTCTATGGGAAGGCACGGGCCAGACGAGGGGTCCACAAGCTCTGTCGTCTTCATCCCCCGCAGCTGGGGGCGGCCGATATCCTGGTGGACGGGACGAGCATGCGCGATTGGGACACCGACTGCCTGCACTCACAGATGGCGCTGGTGGCGCAGTCGCCGCTACTCTTCGACACCAGCATCCGCAACAACCTGACGTACGGCTGCCGCTCCAGGGTGACGGATGAGGACATGCACGCGGCCGCTCGGATGGCTAACGCCCACGATTTCATCTTGTCGTTTCCCGCGGGGTACGATACGTACGTCGGCGACCAGGGCGCGCACATGTCTGGTGGGCAGAAGCAGCGCCTGAGCATCGCGAGGGCCGTCATACTGCAGCCCAGGATCCTCTGCCTGGACGAGGCCACCAGCGCCCTCGACGCGGAGAGCGAGGGGATCGTCCAGGACGCGCTGGACGTCGTGATGGAGGAGCTCGAGGAACAAAGTCGGCCACGCGCACAGGGGGGGTACAGTGGGGGCCCATGCCACGAAACACCCTGCTTGCCTCCAGGGTGCCCTGGGCTTCTTGGTTTTCGATGGTTTTGCCATGGAAAGCGTGACGTTCCCACACCAGAAGTCAGTGGACGTCCTGGGGTCTTAGGGTTGGGTTTCTTGTGGAAGACTTCTTGTGGACTGGCCTCCACTGTAGGGGGAGGGGGAAGGCTTCTTAGAGGCACCCCTGCTTCTTAGAAGGCGCGGACCCTGTCTGCAGATGCAAGGCCAGCGCCCTCTAAGAGGCAGCCTCCTGCTAAGAAGCCTTCCCCCCTCCCCCATACCCCCCTCTGCGCGCCGCCGGCGAAGATGTAGTTTCGGAGGTTCGCGCGAATTTCCTGGGTCGGCGCTGGACCCCCCCCTTCTCGTGGCGCAGGAAGCGCGCCGGGGACGGCACCAGAGGCGGAGGCGCCATCTGGGAGGGGGAACGGCGCCGACCTGCGAACTCCCGCTCGGACTCCGTGGATCTGCGACCACTTGCGAACCCTTATTTCTGCGGGTCTACTCGACGCTGGGGCATTGGACACCCCCGCTGGGGTTCACGTCGCTGCAGACATCTGACCTGCAGGGGTGGGGGTTCACATGTGGTTGCCCTCTGGTAGTTTATGTTTGTGCGATTCTTATTTCACAGGAGCGGACGACCCTCGTGATCGCCCACCGTCTGAGCACGATCAAGCATGCGCACCAGATCGTCTGCATGCGCGACGGCCGCATCGTCGAGCTGGGCCTGCCGCAGGAGCTGCTCGCGAAGCAGGGGTACTACTGGAACCTCGTGAAGCGGCAGGTGTGCACCCTGGAGGACTCGGCGGCGCGCAGAAGGGGATCCGTGAGATCCTGTCGTCGCAATTTGTTTCACAACGGGCGATTTTGCCCGGTTTCGGGCCCCAGACCATCACAGATCGATTCGGCTCGAGACACGCCGAGTCAAGATGGGGTCTAGGGCTCTGGTCGTGATTTTTTGCGATGCTGCAGTTTGGTCGCAACGTCGGATCTCAAGGATGGCGCCAGGGGCGGGGGTCGCCCTTCAAGAGGGCAGGGTGCTGCTCGGAAGGAGTCGGAGGCTTCAAGGCTGCCTCCGAAAAGGCCTCGAGGGCTGCTGGGAGGCCCACCCCCTCTGGCCTCTCAGCAGGCCAGCTGGTCCCTGGGCCCCACCCCAGCAGAGTTGAAGAGTTTGTACACTGGGCTGTTGACGTTCACCGGTAATTTCTTCTGTTGGTATGCAGTCGTCGTTGTGTGCTTACCTGAGCCGTCCCGCCCATCCCTGGCCTGAGACGGGACCCTCTTTCTTCCTTCTTTCTGGGATGACCGCGGTGGTCGCTGACGGGATAGGGGGGTCACAAGTCGATGCTCAGGTGGGGTGTGTCTGGCGTTAGAATGGGCTACAAGTACCTTAAGTGGCTTGGGTGGGTTCGATAACTCCGCTAAGTGGACGCAGCCCACTGATTCCAGATCTTAAGCCACCTAGGGAACTTCTAACATCTAACTCAAGGGGAGGGGACAGTATGGGAGGGGGCAGTACGGGAGAGGACAGTAGGGAGAGGACAGCAGGGGAGGGGACAGTAGGGAGGGGACAGTTAGAGGGGACACTAGGTTTGGGGACAGTAGGGAGGGGACAGTATGGAAGGGGACACTACAGGATACACAGTACAGTGTCCCCTCCCGTATTGTCCCCTCCCGTCCCCTCCCATACCCGTTGTACTGTCCCCTCCCACTGTACTGTCTTACTGTCCCTCCCTCCCACTGTCCCCTCCCGTACTGACTGTCCCCTCCCGGACTGTCCCCTCCCACTGTCCCCTCCCACTGTCCCCTCCTTATTGTCACCTCCACTGTCCCCTCCCACTGTCCCCTCCCACTGTCCCTTTCCGTACTGTCCCCTCCAAGTCCCTTCCCGTACTGTCTCTTCCCATTGTCCCCTCCCGCTGTCCCCTCTCCCCACTGTCCCCTCCTGTACTGTTCCTCCTTTACCCTCCTGGCCTTCCGATTTCGATCCCGATCCGGTTTGCCGTAATCTGGTTTCCGATTCGATCCGACTCGGCCCTGCCGACTTCTGTCGATTTCGATTGGGCTGCCGATTCCTGCAGACTTTGCCGATCCGATCTTCTGGTCGATCCGATCCGACTTTCCGATTCGATGCTGGGGCCACCTGCGTGCGCGTCGCCGGAGGATCTCGAGGGCTTCAACCTGGAGCTCGACCAGGGGCCCGACAGGGGCCAGGCCGCGGCGGCCGCGGAGGCCCCGGCGCCGGCGGAGGCTGCGGCAGCCGACGCCGCGCCGCGGCCCGGGGCCGCAGGCGCGGAGGCTGTGGCGGCCGCAGAGCCGACGGCGGCCGCCGAGCCCGGGCCCGCAGCGGCCAGCGTCGGCCTGCTGGAGTCCGACTTCCTCCAGATCATGGAGGACACGGAGGCGACCCGGCACCTCTCCAGAGATCCAGCGCACCGCAAACATCAGCACGAAGGCTCTTCGCCGCTGTCGGCCTCTCGAGGCCCTCGCTGGGACCCGGGGCCCAGTCCGGGGAGTGGGTCGAGACTTTGGGGACGCCGTATTTCGGGGGTTCGTAGAGGGGGGGCTGTCCCAAGGTGGGGTTATGGAAAGATCCCAGCTGGACGCTAACATTTCCTTCTTCCAGGAGCTGTTTAGAGCGATGTTCCTCACACCCCCACCTCTACCCCTACCCCACCTTTGCGTCCCGCGTCCCCCCGAGTATTGGAAATAGCCTGGCGAAGGACCCAACCATGTGCAGTCGTAGATACCGTCGCTGTTAGTACCGCCTTCGGTGGATCTCTTTCTGGGGCCACGAAGCGCGTGAAGAGTACCGAAATGGGGCATTGCGGAGCTCCCTATGGGGCCACGAAACGTGTGAGAGGTGTGCCAAAATGGGGCGGCGCTGCCATGCGGACTGCGCCACTGGGACCTTAGGTGGAGCTCCCAATGGGGCCACGAAACGTGTGAGGGGTGTGCCAAAATGGGGCGGCGCCGCCATGCGGACTGCGCCACAGGGACCTTAGGTGGAGCTCCCTATGGGGCCACGAAACGTGTGAGGGGTTTGCCAAAATGGGGCGGCGCCGCCATGTGGACTGCGCCACGGAGGAGGGGGAGGAGGAGGAGGAGGAGCAGGAGGAGCAGGAAGGAAAGAACGCGGGCGCTGTCTCTTGAAAGCGAGGACCCAACACCACAGGATGGTCGGGAAAAATCAAGACGTCGGATCTCTGGGTGCGGCGTCGTGATTTTTCCGATGTTCGGCGGTGAGCGCAGAGGGGAAGGGAGAAAGGGCGGGCCTTCTCAGAAGGCTTGGAAGTCCCCCAGCCTTCTGAGAAGTTTTCCACGCCTTCCCCGAAGACGCAGAGAACTTTGCAGAAGGCGCGAGGGCTTCTCAGAAACCCCGCCGCCTTCTGAGAAGGCCTTCTCCTTCTCACTTCCCCCCCTCGCTCGCCGCCGAGATGTCGTGTCCCCACGGCTCTCCTCCTCCCCTCCGCGGCCGGCCGCCTCCTCTCCCTGCCGCTTGCAGGGCACCGCTCGCTGTCCACTCCACCCAGGGCCGCTCGACCGACCCGCGAGCTTGCCGGGTCCTCGACCAAAAAGATGCCCTGGGCTTGACGCCGCTGGGGCTCGAATCCAGACGTCATCCGATCTGTTTCGGCCACGCGCAGAGGGGGGTAGGGAGAGGGGGAAGGCTTCTTAGAAGGACCCCTGCTTCTCAGAAGGCGCGGGGCATCTCTATAGATACAGGGCTGGCGCCCTCTAAGAAGCAGCCTCCTTCTCAGAAGCCTTCCTCTTCCCCAACCCGTTTGTGCGCGCCGCCAGCTGTTCCAGAGCCAGGCAGCGGAAACAACTGCACAGCTTGAGAGTCCTTGGGTTTCATCATGACCGGTTCTCCATCCCGGAATGCTCTGCGGCGGTCCCTGGGCCAGAGACGCCCCCACTAGGCCCAAGGCGCCGAAAACTGGCAGAAGTCCTGCGTCATGTTCTCTGTTCCAAGACGTCGGTCGGAGGCGGCCAATGGGGGGTGATGACTTGGGTGTGGATATCACGGCCTGGCCCATGATATCTCCCGGGTCTCCATGGCCCCCCGATTCTTCTTTCGACGAGTTCCCTTGTCCCCCCCCCCTCCGTGCACCAACCTCAGGCCATGACTGGGGGGCCCCCTCTGCACGCCTCCTGGACCCAACCTTGGTTCCCTTCCTATTCTTAGTGCCCCGTCCGAGCCCCTCCCCCCCCTCCTCCTCCTCCTCCTCCTCCTCCTCCTCCTCCTCCTCCTCCTCCTCCTCCTCCTCCTCCTCCTCCTCCTCCTCCTCCTCCTCCTGGGGCCCTCGATCCCCCCAGGCCGCCGCCGCCGCCGACACGGCGCGGGCGTGGCAGGAAGAGGCGGAGCCCGGCGAGGCCGTGGCCGGCGGCGGCCCCCCCCAGGCGGGCGGGCGCGGCGGATGCCCCGCGGCCGCGGCCCTTTGCTAGTTTTAGTTTTCTTTGTTTTTGTTGACAAAGCGTGTGTGTGTGTGAGTGAGAGAGAGCGTCTGTGTGTGTGTGTGTGTGTGTTTGTCTCAGCGTGTGTGTGCGTGTGTCAGCGTGTGTGTGTGTGTGTGTGTGTGTGTGACTTTGTTGAGTTCCCAGTGCCGATGAGTCATTATGGTTGATATCCCTCACTGGTGCCCGTGGTGTTTTTCAATTGAAGTGCTCCCCCTGGGGCTCGTACCCTTTCTGTTACCAGGGAAAGTCTTGAGCCTCAAACTTTGTCCATGGCCCCTCGTCTGACAACAACAACAACAGCATCAACAACATCAACAGCAGCGGTTCCCGCCTGATACTGAGGCGGTGCCAACTACACGTGGCAGGCAACGAAGATATGCCTCAAAGGGTGCATTATCGAATCAAAGAGGGTTGGTATCCATGGTTTGTGGTATGCATGTTGAATGACACGCGAGCAGCGAAGACCAACTGTTATCACAATGATTCTTGTTGGATTGCCATTTCCCACACATGACGTTAACTATCGTTGATCCCCCTGCCAGGTGCTCATAGTATCGTGCAATTGAAGTGCCCCCCCTGGGTCTCGTACTTGGTTTTTGCAAGACAAGCTTTTGAGCCGCAAACTGTGTCCCTGGCCCCCCACTCCAGCTTACAACATCAACAACAATCATTTTAAGACTGTTCGCTCCTATCTGCTTGCGTTCCCCTCAACACGTATATCCCAAACCCTTGGTACCCGCCTTCTCTGTTTTCGATCGTTTTCTCTTGGGGGTCTATCTTCCTTACCTGCCACGTGCATGTAGCGCAGCCCCTCAAACAGGGGAGGAGAGGACGGATGGAAGGGGGAAGGGGAAGGATTGAGCATGACAGAAATTGCAGGAGCTGGGCTAGGAGCAGGAAGCACGTGGCAGGACCAGGCGGGCAGATCTGGTGGGCAGACCCTGGCGGGCAGGTCGGGAAGGCGGACCCAGGCGGCCAGGTCGCCTCGAGCGATAGCGCGATTTCAAAGTAAACCGTGAGGAAGGCTAAAGCGAGAGCGTGATTCCTGAGTGTCGAGGGCGCGGCGTCTGAATACATTGTGAGAGAGTTCCACGCGATAGTGCGATTCCTGCATGCGTTGTGGGGAAGTCCCACGCGAGAGCTCGATTTTGGAATACAGTGTGAGGACTTATTTGGCGGGAGCCGGTGTTATTGTAGCACAATTCAGTTTGAGCAGGAAGACGACCCCTGGTAAAATACAGGGTGCGAGCCCCGAGAGGCACTTCAATTGAAGAAACACAATGTGCCCCAGTGAGGGGGGATCAACCATATTTATTCTTCCAGATTGAGAGTTCAACAACAACAATCATTTCAAAACCGTTTGCTCCTATATGCTCGCGAGCAGTTCAACTCATATATCCCAAACCCTCGTTACCCGCCCCCTCCGTCTTCGATCGTACCCCCCTAGGGGATATATCTTCTCTACCTGCCGCGTGTAGTTGGCGCAGCCCCTTAAACAGGGGAAGGAGTGGAGGAATGAAGAGACAAAGGGGGAGGGAGAAGGATGGAAGAGATTTGCGGGAGGGCGGTTAGGAGCAGGAGCACAAGCGGCAGAACCAGACGGGCGTGTCGGGCGGGCGGACCTTAACGGGCAGGTCGGGCGGGCGGACCCAGACAACCAGGTCGAGCGGGCGGGTCGCTAAAGCGTCAGCTCATCATGAAAGAAGTTTCGAGCGACAGCGCGATTCCCGAATTGGTAGGACATCCAAAGCGAGAGTGTGATTCGTGAGTCATGGGGGCACGGCGCCGCAATCAATTGTGAGGAAGTTCCACGCGAGAGCGCGATTCCTGCATAACTTCTGAGAAACTCCCGCTCGGGAGCGCGATTTCGACATAGTTGTGGTGGGGTATCAGGCGTGAACCGTTGTTGATTGTTAATTACTGGGCAATTATTCTTGTTGTTCCCCCCCCAGGCGCCCTGACGCCCTCGCCTCGGCGCTGGCTACACTGTCATTGAAAATGAGGCTCACGCTCGAGCGGTTTGGCGGGGCGCCAAAACTGGCGCCCCAACAAGAACAACGCTCCCGCTTGCGACTTCCTTTTTTTGTTACCCAGAGCCGGTGCTCTTGCTCGCCGCCGAAGACCGCCGCCCCAACAAAACCAACGCTCCCGCTCGAGACTTCCTCACGTTTTACCTTGTACTGGAGCGCTACTCTTTCTCTCATCGGCGCCGCCACCAGCAAGAACAGCGCTCCCGCTCGAGGCTTCCTCTTTTTTTGCTCAGAGCCGGTGCTTTTGCTCGCCGCCGAAAACCTGCGCCCCAACAAAACCAGCGCTCCCGTCCGAGAATTCCTCCCGTTTTACGCTGGACTGGCGCCCAACTCTGTTTTTAATTGGCGCCGCGCCCAGCAAGAACAACGCTCCCGCTCGAGGCACCCTCCCTTTTTCCTGAAGACGGTGCTGTTCCTCGCCGCCGACAGCCCCCGTCCCGACAAAACCGCAGCTCCCGCTCGACACTTCTTCCCTTCTTACTCAAGGCGGTCTTCCTCCTCGCCGCCGACAACCGCCGTCCCAACAGAACCAGCGCTCCCGCTCGAGACTTCGTGCGTGTTGTTTCACGCTGGACTAGCGCCCTACTCTCTTCTGCATTGGCGCCGTTCCCAGCAACAACAGCACCCCTGCTCGAAATTTCCTTCCTTTCTATTCAGGGCCAGGTCCTTGCCTCACCGCCGACAGCCCCCATCCCCTCCAAGCCAATCCTATCGCTCGATATTTCCTTGTCCTTTACCCTTGGCTGGGGTTCCACTGGCGGTCTCGCATCGGCGCAGCAGGGTGCGGGCATGTGTTTTCGAGGCGGGATATGTTGAAATTCCTCGGAGGAGGTGTTTGCAAGACCTCATTCAGTGGGAGATCTGGGAATGAGAATAACGGACCCCCGCGATAGAACAATTATCCCCCATGATGGGGATGGTTATCATGTTGGTCGCATGCTGCGTGTGGAAGCATCGCGCATGAGGATATAATGATTGTTGTTGAGCTCTCACTACTGAAGACTAATAATTGTTGATCCCCCTTCCGGTGCACGTGGTATTTTTCGATTGAAGTGCCCCTCCCGGCGCTCGCTCCCTGTCTTCTACCAGGGAAAGTCTTTTTCCTCAAACTGTGCCCCTGGCTCCAGTTTACAACAACAACGGCTCCCGCTTGATGTTTCCTCGAAATTTACTCCGGTCCCCCGCTCCCGCTTGAGACTTCCTCGCAATTTACTGCCATTAAGGAGTCGTGCGTTCGCTGGGGACTTCCTCACATTTACTTAGGAATCGCTGTCTCGCTGGAAACTTCCTGGCTAATCACGCAGAACTCACGATCGATCCGCCCGCTCGGCCCGCCCGTCACGGTCATGCCCTTCGTGCCACATGCTCGCTCGCGCCCTGTGTGCTTCATTGCTGCCCTTCGTGGCCCCTCCCCTTGTGGCCCAGTCGCTGCCTTTTGTGGCCCCGATGCTGCCCGCAGTGGCCCCTCGCTGCCCTTTGTGGCTCACACACACATATATATATATATATATATATGTATATATATATATATATATATACATTGAGGTGGCACACGGGGTTCCCCATTCGGCTTGAAGACGAAGACGCTATTTGAAGACTCGATTGGCCAGGGGCGGTCGAGCGGGTGAAGACGCTAAACGCTGTGAAGACGCAATTGCGCAACCAAAGGGTGAAGACGCAAAGGCGCTTGAAGACGCAATTCCGTTTGAAGACGCAAATGTGCTTGAAGACGTTATTCCCGGCGCAGACGCTGTTCCGCCTGTTGGTCTTGCTGCCGAGGGCCTGATGCATTGCGTTCCCGGCGCAGCCGCTATTCCTGGCGCAGACGCTATTCCCGGCGCAGACGCTATTCCTGGCGCAGACGCTATTCCCGGCGCAGACGCTATTCGTGGCGCAGACGCTATTCGTGGCGCAGACGCTATTCCCGGCGCAGACGCTATTCCCGGCGCAGACGCTATTCCCGGCGCAGACGCTATTCCCGGCGCAGACGCTATTCCCGGCGCAGACGCTATTCCCGGCGCAGACGCTATTCCGTGCGCAGACGCTATTCCCGGCGCAGACGCTATTCCTGGCGCAGACGCTATTCCGGGCGCAGACGCTATTTCTGCCGCGGACAGGCCCATTGGGGGGCTCCCCGGCCCCGAGGGCTCCGTCCGCGGCGGGGGCGTCCCGTTTGGCATGGTGTCGGGCCCATGGGCGCTTCTCGCCGGAGGTTTCAGTTGGCATGGTGTCGGGCCCATGAGCGCCTTCCCCGGAGGTCCCGTTTGGCATGGTGTCACGCACCGAAAACCTGGTCCCGGGAGGTTCCGTTTGGCATGGTGTCGGGCCCCCGAAAACCCGCCCCGGGAGGTCCCGTTTTGCATGGTGTCGGGCCCCTGGGGCCTCTCTCGGGAGGTCCCGTTTGGCATGCTGTCGGGCCCAGGGGGCGCCACCGGAGGGGCGTCAATAACCGCTCCGTCCGCGGCGGATGGTCTCCCGTAGGAAATCGGAGCTAGATTCTCCACGGGAGACACCCCGCCGCGGACAGAGCATTTGGGGTGGCTCCCCGAGAGCCGAGAGGCCTCCGCCCGCGGCGGATGGTCTCCCGTCGGGAATCGGGGCCGGATTCTCCACGGGAGACCCCCCGCCGCGGACAGAGCATTTGGGGTGGCTCCGCGAGGGCCGCGAGGGCCCCCGTCTGCGGCGGATGGTCTCCCGTGGGGAATCGGGGCCGGATTCTCCACGGGAGACCCCCCGTCGCGGAGAGAGCATTTGGGGTGGCTCTCAGAGGGCCGCGAGGCTCCCGTCCGCGGCCGATGGTCTCCCGTGGGGACTCGGGGACAGAGCATTTGGGTTGACTCCCCGAGAGCCCCGGGGCCCCCGTCCGCGGCGGATGGTCTCCCGTGGGGAATC